GCGCCTTTCACATTTGAATCTCAAAATAATGAAATCTAACGAACCCGTTCACCTTCGATGCCTTATTCAACAGCCCTTCCTCATCCTCGTGTGGACGTGGAGACACGCAAACGCAATGCTTCAGCATAGTTGACGTCGGCACAACATACTTACATGAACTGATACTCCCAACTCGTGCCGCACTTTGGTAAGGTAATCACAGTGCAATCGACGCAGATCACCCCTGATCTAAAGATAATTTTGGGTTGACGGCATAATATGCGAGTTAAGGTGGCACAATCGAAAAGAAGGCCTCAAGGCTAGAACATCCAGGACGAAGGACTGGTGGTCTCTGACGCAAGCCAATCAAGGTCTAGCAAAATCAAACAAATGGTGAGTGAAAGTCGGAGACTTTTCCCAATAGCTTCAGTTCTAATGATCGGCATCAATCGGCTCCATTCTGAAGAGATAAATTATTTTGACAAAATGAGGAATCAAACGACATGGTTGAAAAGGACTAGCTGCTTAACCACACGAGAACCCATCTCCGAAATGGCCGACCATCGAGATATAATGAAAATCAAGCCCAGAGCCTCCAATTCGCCCACATGTAAGGGTTTCCAAGACGAGCCAGACTTCCAGATCCCAAAACCGGAGATCCACCTTTTCTGGCGATGCAAGGCACTAAACCCACCACACAAATAAACCAATTGGGTGAAAAGGACAAGGAGTCGAGCCAGAAGGGTAAACGTGGGAAATAGACTAGATTTTACCCTTGATCGGCGACTCTCTAGGACTGGTGGCATTATCAACACCTCCAAATCGACCACAAGTTGCCATATTGTCGGACACGCCCAAAGTGGTAGCTGCTCCTGCCGATCGACACCCTGTGCTACCCCAATTCAAATCACTCCCCACAGAAGCAGAGGCGGAGGAGACTGAGGAGACAGCGGCAGCAGAAACCGAGGCAGAGGAGGAGGAGGAGACGGGCTCCAAGCCACGCGACGGCTGAGGTCGCGTGAGATGATGCTCTTCCAGCCCTGAAGATCTATGGTACCTCGAGGTCCGATTTACCACCCGAGAGCGTTTGTGCGTCCGCACAGTGATGGGACCGCCGTAGGGAGTAATGGGAAAGACGTGGGTGGTGCCGTGGTTACTACTGACTGCGAGCCATCGCGAATCTGGCGAGAAGCACGCATCAACTGTCTGCAGAGGTGAACACAAGGATACTGTGCTACATGCAGGCCGACGGTGTACACGTAACAGGATTCCGGGGACTGCACTCACCTCGCAAGGTGTGGAGCCGCGGTTAAGGGTGTAGAGATGATGCACAGCGCTCTCACGCGGATCACGAGGATGGTTAGAGATACGGAAAACGTGGAAGGCATGACCCTGCGAGCATGCGGTGCAGAGCAGTGAACCCGTCGAATCAAACGCCAGGTATCCCACGCTCGCCCAACGGTGTGCCTATCACATGCAATAA